AAAAAATTTCAAAACTCTTTTAATCATTTTGTAGTCATTCATCCAACGGGTGTAACATCATTTAGGGCATTGGTGTTCAAGTGTTTGGCTTGTTCCAATTTTTATGTTATAGATAATCTGTGCCACAAATACCACCTTTGACTACATCTCTAACCATTCCCTTGGGACAGACACCCAGGAATAGATTTTCTAGAGGGGGAAGAAATGGCCCTTTTTAAAAGCGTGAAGGCTTATTGTCCGGTTGCATTACAGAAAGACAGTAGGGAACCTCCCAGTTTAACCCCATCCCCAGCAGCCTCTGAGAGTCCGGGTCTCCATACCTGCCCACTTGGCCTTACCTAGAACCCAAGTTGGAAGGACTATGGAGTTGCAGGTGCCCTCAGTGTTACCTGGCCCAACTGCCTGACAGGACAGAGGTGTCCTCAACAGCATCCCTGATAGCCACTCACCTCACCTCTGCTGACATACCTCCAGTGACAGGGAGCTCACTACCTCCCAGTCAATCACAGGAAATCTCATGAGCTGATAGGAATCCTCTCTAAAGCATTCTGATGAAGTGCCCAGATCATGTCAGCATGATCTGCCTCTCTTCCCAAGCTGCTGGCTTCTGTGGTTGGCTCCTCCCCCTCCCCCCTACCTCTGCCCTCTCTGCTCCTTGACACCAGGCCTCCTTCCCCCTTCCCCCCCAACTGCAGCCATGACCTGCCACTTCAGGCTGCCCTGGTCTGGAGGTCGGTCAGCGGCTGCATCGCCTCCTCCCAGCTCAGGTCCTGGTTTGCTGCGTGCCCTTGAGCAAGTCCTCTTGCCCCTCTGGTTCCCAGAGGGCCTGTCTGTGCCACCAGAGGTGGTTTCCGAGTCCCAGGCAGCTTTGCCCAGCTCCTGGCAGATGTGATTCCCCAGAGGGGTACGTGGCAGGGGCCAGGATCAGGAGAGCCTGGTCAGGCCTGGCGTCCTTCCCAGCCAGCAAGGAGCCGTTAGCAGTCCCCGTCTGTCTCATGCTGAAGTTTATGAGAAGAGGCCGTGCCTTTCTGGAAGGCGGCTGGGGGAACGTGCGGAGGGTAGAGAAGCCTTTGTTCCATCAAAAATTCCGACTCCCTTTGGCCCTGCCCTTTTCTGTGAGCATAAACAATATGGGGCCTGAGCCCTTCCAGGAAGTGAGCACACCCCCCCACTTCGCCCCCCCCCCTTGTCCTCCCCTCCATCCATGGCCTCTTCACCCCTGCCCTGCAAGCCATTTCTCCCCTCGGGCCTGAAAAGGGCAAAGCCAAGTCCTCTGACACTGGGCCTGGCCAAGCTGAGCTGGAGGCCCCTGGGATTGGGGGTTTCTCCTCCTCAGCATTCAGCACTCACACTTGGGGTGGGCCACACTTGAGGGGTGACAGAACAAGTGAGCGAGTGTGACCTGTTGAAGTCTGCTGGGCCTGTTTCTCATGCTGAAACCCTTTGGCTCCCCAAGGTGACTTGTTAGCCCTCTGTTATCAGTAAGACACACCTGCTTTCCCTCTCTAATCCCAGGGAGAGATTCCTCCCAAGTTGGCAATTATATGGAGCTTTGATGATGTACAGCTACCAAGCAAAGACCTTCATCTGCATGCAGGCATCAAAATCCTTCCAGCAGTCCTAGGAGACCAGCCCCTTGACATCACCCCAGGTCTCCGGAGAGGAACCGAGGCTCAGAGGGGTTGAGAAACTTGCTGTGGGTGCCCCGGAGTCAGGCAGGATGTGACCGCAGCTCTCTGAAGCTGAAGTCCACTGACTGAGCCTCATCCGCACCACTGGCATCAGAACTGGGCCCTTGGGAGCCTGGCCTGTCAGCAGGCGGGACTGTGACACCAGGGCCTGCAGAAGGCCAGAGCCCTGCAAAGGCTCAGTGGTTCACGCTTCCTGATGGAGGGCTCCACAGAGATGGTTTTCTAGTTAAATCATCTTCCAGACTCATCATCTTGCTCTTCTCTCTCATCTTCTGGCTTTTCTGCTCTATACTTTCCTTTATGTGTCCACCCTGTTCATGTCTGAAGCAGAGATTCTTTGGGAAGTGAATGGTCAATTCTGCCCCAGTCCTTGCCGGTCTGTCTGCTGAGTGCCCCTGGGCTGCCAGCGTGACCCCTGCCCTTTGCCCCAGCTGCGTGAGCATAGGTGCAGGTGCTGAGGCTGGAGGCCAGCAGAGCCACACCCCACATCCACAGTGGACCTGGCTGGAAGGGGCCCCAGGTTTCCTCCTTCCACCCAGTAGTCTCAAGTCCTCCCACAGTGAGGTGCCTGTGTGTAGACCCCTTACACAATGCAGATCCCTGCCGTGAGGAGGGGACACAGGGAATAAGTTCATCTAGTACTTTCGGGATTGCTGACGAAGCAAGGCCGTGGACTTGTTTGGAAGCTGTGGGTACCAGGCATGAGAAAAGGTGGCACCAGAAAGGGCTGGGTGTACACCCTAATTTGATACCATCAGAGCTCAGAGTGGCTTCAGAGGCATAACTGGACCCTCTCCTGCCAATTAACTGGACATCGGCCCTGACTACCGGCTGAGTCTCCTGTTGACATAACCTGACCAGTGCTAAAAGCCAGTGCTGAGCTCTGGGGAACACCAGTAAAGACCCCAAAGACATTATTAGAAGGCCCAAGAGGTTAGGGTGTTGGTGTTGATGGGGGTCCCGCTTTCCAACTATATTTACATGCCTGGCAGTATGCCCCTTGCATGAAACTCAAGTAGGCTGTCACCGAAGTGTGATAATGACTCTGGGGTGGGGGGAGAGATAGGATTGTGAAGGGTAGAAATGAATAGTTTGCATACCGCTATTACTATAATATTCATAGATGATGCTCGTGACTAGTAGGCCTGCTTCACTTTGATGGGCCAGCCTCTTCCTGCATCCTGTTTCATTGCATTCTCAGAGCAGTCCTGTATGGTAGTTACGGTCATGATCTTTGCCCAAGATCACAGAGCAAGGGTCACATGCTAGAACATTACACTAGGTGAAAGAAGCGAGACACAGGGATACCTACTGTATGAAACTTCGAGATAGAACAATCCATAGAGGCAGGAAGTAGGTGGGGTAAAGACTTGGGTAGGATGGGGAGTGATTTTTTTGGGTCAGAAATGGAGGTGACAAAAATGGTCTAAAATTAGATTGTAGTGATGGTTGCACAACCATCACTAGCTAAAAGCCTCTGAGCTGTACGTCTTAAATAGTACAGTTAAGGGAAATGTAGAGTATATGAGTCATCCATAGCTCAATAAGGCTATTAAAACCCCATGTAGGAGAGAGCTGATTTTTTTTTAATATCTAGAGTTCTAGAGTGCTGTTGCAAATCAGGAAAATAACAAACCCCAGCAGAAGAAAAAAAAATAAAGGATGTGAACTATAACAGTTCACAAAGGAAATACAAATGGTTCTTAAATGCCTGGGAAAACTCTGTCTTGCTTGTAGTACAAGGTTGCTCTCTGCAGTTTCCCACCTCTCAGATTGGCAGTGATGACAACTTTGTTGTTGAGGACACGAGCCATTAAGTTGGT